TTATTTTTGTAAATTTTCTTCGTCCGCCATTAACCGTTATCTAACTACGAATCGGAACCGGACCAGCTATGACGGAAATCCGTATTTTTACAATAATAACTACGGACGCATGAATGGAACAGCTGACTGAAGAATATTGATCCCAAAAGGAAAAATTACGCATTCCACACGCATTAACAGACTTTTGGTTGGATCTAATTGATTAATGTATATAGTTCCATATAATTTATATGGATTGTTTCAAAATATTGATCAAAGTTGCTTAACCACTAATATCAATATATTATGGCTAGCTTAACTTTGTATATCTTTTGATGAGAAACACTGAATTTTATAAACATGATAAACAAGTTTTTAATTGAATTGTAATTCATATTTTATAACTTCTTTACCTTTTTGACATAAAAAAAAATTCTTTTTAGTGCTAGATATTTAGTTGGTAGTAACAGTTTTCTCACAAGAACCTAAACAACTTTGAATTTGAACTGTTAATTTAATTGTATACTCAGATATGAATTGAACAATATAATAAGAACATTATTTACATATGCCCCTTTATACTATAGTAAAATCAAAACATTGTAGCGCAGCGCGCAAAGGAGCACTTCTCTTTCAAATCTCACCACTTCTCCCTATCAGTTTCAAAAAGAGAAGTCACTTCTCCCTATGATTCTGAAGTAGTGTGAGCCCTGGGTATCCTAAAATGTGCAAATCTTGTATTCTGCCTACATAGAATTAGTGGAGAAGAGAATGAAATTGAATTTTCAATCTTCTAGAAATGACTCTCAATGGTTATTTGTATAGAATGTATATATTTAGCTATAATACTATGAAACTACAACAAGTCTTTACTATTTTGTGTTGAAATATGCTTAAAAAATCATATTTAAGAAATAATTCATGGCAGCCGTAGATTTGTTTTCATTTAACCATGGGTAAAATAATCGAATATAAATGCTCAACCCATGGTTAAATGAAAACAAATCTACGGCTGCCATGAATTATTTCGATTCTTATAGGACAAATTCGGTAATTTTGTTAACCGTGAAAGCCCTATACATACGATACTGTTTTGGCTGTTCCGTTTTACCAAATTTTGATAATATAAGTAATATTATATAATTCAATTATTTTTTTTTTAATCGCATTTTTAGCTCCAAGTGAGCTTTTCTCGTCACTTGACGACGGTCGTGCGTAAACTTTTACAAAAATCTTCTCCTCTGAAACTACTGGGCCAAATTTGACTAAACTTGGCCACAATCATTATTAGGGTATCTAGTTTAAAAAATGTGTCTGGCCATCCCGCCAACCAACCAAGATGGCCACCATGGCTAAAAATAGAACATAGGGTAAAAATGTAGATTTTGTCTTATAACTCTAAAACCAAAGCATTTACAGCAAATCTGATATGGGGTGAAATTGTTAATCAGGTCAAGATCTATTTGCCCTGAAATTTTCAGATGAATCTGATAACCCGTTGTTAGGTTGCTGCCCCTGAATAGGTAATTTTAAGGAAATTTTGTTGTTTTTAGTTATTATCTTGAATATTATTATAGATAGAGATAAACTGTAAACAGCAATAATGTACAGCAAAGTAAGATCTACAAATAAGTCAACATGACCAAAATGGTCAGTTGACCCCTTAAGGATTTATTGCCCTAAATTTTATAGTAAATTTTTACATTTTTTTGTAAATTTTTGTAATCTTTTACAAAAATCTTCTTCTCTGAAACTACTGAGACAAATTTAACCATACCTGGCCATAAACATTATTAGGGTATCTAGTTTAAAAAAATTGTCCGATGATCCCGCCTTCCAACCATCATGGCCGACATGGTTAAAATAGAACATAGGGGTTAAATGCAGTTTTTGGTTTATATCTCTGAAACTAAAGCATTTAGAGCAAATCTGATGTGTGGCAAAAATGTTCATCAGATTTAGATTTATCTGCCCTGAAATTTTCAGACGAATCCGACAACCTGTTGTTGGGTTGCTGCCCCTGAGTTAGTAATTTTACAGAAATTTTGCAGTTTTTATACGACCGCAAAAATTAAAAATTTTTTGGTCGTATATTGGTATGACGTTGGCGTCGTCGTCGTCCGAAGACACATTAGTTTTCGCACTCTAACTTTAGTTTAAGTGAATGGATCTCCATGAAATTTTACCATAAGGTTCAATACCACGAAAGGAAGGTTGGGATTGATTTTAGGGGTTATGGTACCAACAGTTAAGGAATTAGGGGCCAAAAAGGGGCCAAAAATAAGCATTTTTGTAACTTCCAGACAATAACTTGTGTGTAAGTGTATGGATCTCTCTGACATTGTACCACAAGGTTCCATATCACAAAGGAAAGGCTGTAATTGATTTTGGGGGTAATTGCCTCAAAATTTTAGGAATTAGGGGCCAAAAAAGGGGCAAAAAACAAGCATTTTTCTAGTTTCATGACAATAACTTGTGTGTAAGTGTTTGGATATTTCTGAAATTGTACTACAAGGTTCCATATCACAAAGGGAAAGCTGGAATTGAGTTTGGGGGTAATTGCCCGAAACTTTTAGGAATTGGGGGCCAAAAAGGGGCCAAAAATAAGCATTTTTCTAGTTTCCAGACAATAACTTGTGTTCAAGTGTATGGATCTTTCTGAAATTGTACTGCAAGGTACCATACCACAAAGGGAAGGCTGGGATTGAGTTTGGGGGTGATGAATCATAAGGGGGTTCAAAAAATTTGGGGGGGGATTTTTTTTTTTTCTTTTTTTTTCTTTTTTTCCTTTTTTTTTTCTTTTAAAATTTTCCATTTTAAGTTGGTTATTTCTGATTAATATTTAAAAGCAAATAATAATGATATGGTAGGAGATACACACCAAACAGGATGTGTAAATTATTATCTAATAAGTATTGTGCAATAGCAAGAAATTTTCAATTGCACAGTATTGCACAATAGCAAGAAATCTTCAATTGCACAGTATTGCGCAATAGCAAGAAATCTTCAATTGCACAGTATTGCGCAATAGCAAGAAATATCCAATAGCACAATATTGCGCAATAGCAAGAAATTGTCAATTGTACAGTATTGCGCAATAGCAAGAAATATTCAATTGCACAGTATTGTGCAAAAGAAGATACTTCGTATAAATTGCTTATTTCTTGATCAATTTCAATGGGGTTTTATTCTTGAATTCTTGGGGTTCTTTAATATGCTGAATATAACCGTGTATTAAGTTTTTGGATTTTGGGCCCCGTTTTTAAATTGGTCCACATTGAGGTCCAAAGGGTCCAAAATTTAACTTTGTTTGATTTCATCAAAAATTGAATTATTGAGGTTCTTTGAAATGCTGAATCTAACCGTGTATTTAAATTCTTAATTTTTGGTTCCGTTTTCAAATTGGTCTACATTAAGGTCCAAAGGGTCCAAAATTAAACTTAGTTTGATTTTAACAAAAATTGAATTTTTAGGGTTCTTTGATATGCTGAATCTAAACATGTATTTAGATTTTTGATTATGGGCCCAGTTTTCAAGTTGGTCCAAATCGGGGTCCAAAATTAAACTTTGTTTGATTTCAACAAAAATTGAATATATGGGGTTCTTTGATATGCTGAATCTAACCATGTATTTAGATTTTTGATTTTTGGGCCCCGTTATCAACTTTGTCCACATTTAGGTCAAAAGGGTCCAAAATTTAACTTTGTTTGATTTCATCAAAAATTGAATTATTGGGGTTCTTTGATATGCCTAATCTAACCGTGTATTTAGATTCTTAATTTTTGGTTCCGTTTTCAAATTGGTCTACATTAAGGTCCAAAGGGTCCAAAATTAAACTTTGTTTGATTTTAACAAAAATTGAATTTTTAGGGTTCTTTGATATGCTGAATCTAAACATGTATTTAGATTTTTGATTATGGGCCCAGTTTTCAAGTTGGTCCAAATCAGGGTCCAAAATTAAACTTTGTTTGATTTCATCAAAAATTGAATTCTTGGGGTTCTTTGATATGCTGAATCTAACCATGTATTTAGATTTTGGATATTGGACCATAATAGGTGAATGTCCAATTTAAAATTTTTAAGTTCTTAGACCACATTCATTCTGTGTCAGAAACCTATGCTGTGTCAAATATTTAATCACAATCCAAATTCAGAGCTGTATCAAGCTTGAATGTTGTGTCCATACTTGCCCCAACTGTTCAGGGTTCGACCTCTGCGGTCGTATCAAGCTGCGCCCTGCGGAGCATTTTATTTGTTATTATCTTAGATATCATTATAATATCTAATATCTAATACTATTAATTATGATTTTAACCTTATTTTACATAGTAAAAGCATCAGTAAATACAGGTGAGCGACACAGGCTCTTGAGAGCCTCTAGTTCTTATATATTTTCTTCCAATGTAATTTTATTCATTCTGAGTCGTACAAGAAGCTTTAAAACGCCCGGTATTTCCATTTGATTTTTTGTCCACGGAAACATATTTGTGACGTCACCTTGTTTCGTTGCCATGTCAAGACAATAACATCATTTCGCGGAATTTTTGTTTTATGAAATTTTACCATGAATAATAAATTGAAATGGACTGATTTGTTTATTTTGCTGTAGAATAGAGATAAATATATTGTATCTGAAGCTTGGCCTGTGTAAACTGGGGTCTTTGATGTCGAAAATTGAGAATATCTGGCAGTATAAATAAGTTGATCATAACGCGGAACAGCCGTTTATGTGTATTACTGCGTTTTCGCTAAAGGTAGATATATTGTGATTATACTGGTTGACAATAATAGGTCGTCATATTAGAATGGCCAGTATTACCCGTTTCTGGGAGTATTGCCCAGCCCGGGAAAACCCGGGGCGGGTAATACTTTGCCAACCTTGGAAAGAACCAAAGTTTACATTGCTGTGTATCATTTTTAAATGCAATGATTTAAAAAAAAAAAAAACCTGAGCTCATTCATGCCATTGTAAATCGTATTGTGCTATAACTTGTAAATTCTTGTGTGTTTTCCCTTTGTAGGCTATAGTTGGTGGAAACACATTTGATAGACCTGTCTTGCAGATTATTGTAAGTATGATCACTGTGTTGAAGACCCATTGGTGGCCTCAGGCTGTTTTATGCTCTTTGGTGGGGTTGTCTCTTTGACACATTCCCCATTTCCATTCTCAAAATGGGGGAGGGAAGGGGGCAAAAGACAACTGACAACTGACAACTTCTTTAATTTCTAAAACTCAAATGTTGCTACTCTGCTTAATATTAAAAAAATGTGATGTAACAGATAGATATAAGAAAAATAAGATGTGGTATGATTACCAATGATACACCTATCCACCAGAGATAACAAAAAAGGAAGCGAAATAAGTAAATTTATTACACATTCATCCATAAATTTATGTGCTTTCTTTAACAGTAGATATAAACATTAGATAATCTGACTTGTCTCCCCTTATATGGCTAAGAAAATAAATCTAACAAAAAATATTCTGTATTTGTGAAAACAGTCATTATAAAACATGATTTCTCTTCATTTAGATGAAGTCTTTAATATTTTTGTCTATTATCTTAAGATCTACAAAAAACATCCAAATATAAATGAAATCAAATGATGACAATTTCTTGCATTTTAGTTTTTTATCTCAGAAACTCATTTTGACAGTGACAAATCAGATTCTTAGGAGCCTCTTAGCATGCTTAGTCATATTCATACTTGAATTAATATAAATTTCTGAAATTTTTATTTTATTTCTTTTAATCAATAACATTTCTATTTCTGCAGAGCTCAAAGAAGATAACAGCAGCAGGATCCAGTGCAGATAGATACAGACTCCTTCTATCAGATGGACTACACAGTTATTCACGTAAATATGTGTACAATGCATATAAGTAAAATCACAAAATTATTTTATTAAGATAAGCTTGAACAATTACAATAGGCTTTGTAATTTCTTTCAGTTTGGAAGAAATTATCTGTACAAATTATAAGGTAGTGTATGAAAGGTTCATGTTTTTATTCTTTCCAAGTTTTTATACGACCGCAAAAAAATTTTTGTGGTCGTATATTGGTATGACGTTGGCGTCGTCGTCGTCCGGCGTAGTCGTCGTCCGGCGTCGTCGTCCGAATACGCATTAGTTTTCGCACTTAACTTTAGTTTAATTGAATGGATCTCTATGAAATTTTACCATAAGGTTCAATACAACAAAAGGAAGGTGGGGATTGATTTTGGGGGTTATGGTACCAACAGTTAAGGAATTAGGGGCCAAAAAGGGGCCAAAAATAAGCATTTTCTAGTTTCCAGACAATAACTGTGGAACGGTGTATGGATCTCTCTGAAATTATACTACAAGTTTCCATACCACAAAGGGATGGTTAGGATTTGCTTTGGGGGGTTATGGCTCAAACCGTTTAAGAATTAGGGGCAAAAAAGGGGGAAAAACAAGGTTGTCCTGGTTAATGGACAAATATTTTAGTACAAAACATAATTTAAAGCAGTGTAAGGGAGATAAATCAAATACATCATTGAAATTATCTCCCTTACACTGCTTTTAAATTATGTATAAAGTAATGGTTAATGAACAATTAAGATAATTTAAAACAGTGTAAGGGAGGTAATCCAAATACAACGTTTTGGTTACTTCCCTTACACTGCTTTTAAATTATGTTTAAAGAAATGCATATTTATAAAGGAAGACCAGTAAAAATATCTGCAAATGTTGTATCTTTTTTTTTTACAAAAAAATCCATATGAAAGATTTGACACTATATTTTAAATTCTATTATAAAATAGATTAAGTTAGCACTATGGTAAATTTAAATGGGTAATTATGGTTTCGGGGAAAAAAGGGGGGGGGGGGGTAAAAGGAAATTGTGGGGGGTCAATTTTTTCTCATTTCAGATTTCAGAAATTAAAAAGAATTATTCTTCAAATATTATTTTTTTTTTCAAATTTCAAATATTGAAAAATTTCAAGAAGTCATCTTTAATTGCACAGTATGGCGCATTAGATTTGTAAAATCTTTGACCACATTTATTTATTTGTTATGCCGAATCTAACCATGTATTTAGATTTTTAATTTTGGATCCAGTTTTCAAATTGGTCTACATTAAGGTCCAAAGGGTCCAAAATTAAACTTTGTTTGATTTTAACAAAAATTGAATATATATGGGGTTCTTTGATATGCTGAATCTAAACATGTATTTAGATTTTTGATTTTTGGCCCAGTTTTCAAGTTGGTCCAAATTGGGGTCCAAAATTAAACTTTGTTTGATTTCAACAAAAATTGAATATATGGGGTTCTTTGATATGCTGAATCTAACCATGTATTTAGATTTTTTATTTGTGGACCCCGCTATCAAATTGGTTCATATTGAGGTCAAAAGGGTCCAAAATTAAACTTTGTTTGATTTCATCAAAAATTGAATTATTGGGGTTCTTTGATATGCCAAATCTAACCATGTATTTAGATTTTTAATTTTGGGTCCTGTTTTTTAAATTGGTCTACATTAAGGTCCAAAGGGTCCAAAATTAAACTTAGTTTGATTTTAACAAAAATTGAATTCTTGGGGTTCTTTGATATGCTGAATCTAAACATGTGTTTAGATTTTTGATAATGGGCCCAGTTTTCAAGTTGGTCCAAGTTGGGGTCCAAAATAAAACTTTGTTTGATTTCAACAAAAATTGAATATATGGGGTTCTTTGATATGCTGAATCTAAACATGTATTTAGATTTTAGATTTTTGGCCCAGTTTTCAAGTTGGTCCAAACTGGGGTCCAAAATTAAACTTTGTTTGATTTCAACAAAAATTGAATATATGGGGTTCTTTGATATGCTGAATCTTACCATGTATTTAGATTTTTTATTTGTGGGCCCGCTATCAAATTGGTTCATATTGAGGTCAAAAGGGTCCAAAATTAAACTTTGTTTGATTTCATCAAAAATTTAATTATTGGGGTTCTTTGATATGCCAAATCTAACCGTGTATTTAGATTTTTAATTTTGGGTCCCGTTTTTTAAATTGGTCTACATTAAGGTTCAAAGGGTCCAAAATTAAACTTAGTTTGATTTTAACAAAAATTGAATTTTTGGGGTTCTTTGATATGCTGAATCTAAACATGTGTTTAGATTTTTGATTATGGGCCCAGTTTTCAAGTTGGTCCAAGTTGGGGTCCAAAATTAAACTTTGTTTGATTTCAACAAAAATTGAATATATGGGGTTCTTTGATATGCTGAATCTAAACATGTATTTAGATTTTAGATTTTTGGCCCAGTTTTCAAGTTGGTCCAAATTGGGGTCCAAAATTAAACTTTGTTTGATTTCAACAAAAATTGAATATATGGGGTTCTTTGATATGCTGAATCTTACCATGTATTTAGATTTTTTATTTGTGGGCCCGCTATCAAATTGGTTCATATTGAGGTCAAAAGGGTCCAAAATTAAACTTTGTTTGATTTCATCAAAAATTGAATTATTGGGGTTCTTTGATATGCCAAATCTAACCGTGTTTTTAGATTTTTAATTTTGGGTCCCGTTTTTTAAATTGGTCTACATTAAGGTCCAAAGGGTCCAAAATTAAACTTAGTTTGATTTTAACAAAAATTGAATTCTTGGGGTACTTTGATATGCTGAATCTAAACATGTGTTTAGATTTTTGATTATGGGACCAGTTTTCAAGTTTGTCCAAGTTGGGGTCAACAAAAATTGAATATATGGGGTTCTTTGATATGCTGAATCTAACCATGTATTTTGATTTTGGACATTGGACCATAATAGGTAAATTAAAAAAATTGAAGTTCTTAGACCACATTCTTTCTGTGTCAGAAACCTATGCTGTGTCAAATATTTAATCACAATCCAAATTCAGAGCTGTATCAAGCTTGAATGTTGTGTCCATACTTGCCCCAACTGTTCAGGGTGCGACCTCTGCGGTCGTATCAAGCTGCGCCCAGCGAAGCATTTTATTTAAAAAAGAAAAGGTGACGAAGGTCTTTCTATCGTAATAAAATACTTAAAAAGATTTAATTCCGAGTTCTTAAAAGCGTTGGTCTGAAGGTGTTGACCACCAAAATCTTACAAAGGACCGACACAATTTGGGTATTTTGCAAAAGAAATAATAGTGAGGACCAGCAGATCTTCAAGGACCACCAGGGAAAAAAATATTTCGAATAATCTGTTAATTGAGATGTTTATGGTTTAAAATGCATGTTTAGTTCTCCATCACGATAGTTGTTATACATTGAGCATATTTGGTCAGAAAGGTGCCAATGCTTCATCTGACTGACCAAAAACCAATTAAACCAATAAAAAAGAAAATCAGAAAAAATCAGCAGTCTTTAAATACTTAAATTAGGACAAAAGTGACTGATTTCAAAAATTTTAGACCTTTGCCAACATACACATGATAAATTCATGGATACATATATACACACATGAACATACAGATAATCTTTTAATACCAAGTCATGTATTCATTTTAGATGCCATGTTGGCCACACAACTGAACAACTTAATGGAGTCGGGGGAGATGGACAATTTAGCAGTGGTACAAGTTGACAAATATTTATGTAATACAATCCAGGGAGACAGGTATTATTTTGAATACATTGAAATGGATATATATGCATGATTCTTTGTATCAAGTATAATTTCACTTCTATCTATCTTTGTGGAAGTCTAAAATTAACTGGACTTGGTACCAGTCTCTTTTGATTGCTATGGGATCATTACATTTTAATAGGCAGTTTTCCACTGGGCCACCAGCCCAGAATTTGAAAATTGTATTGGTGTGTAAGAATTTCTACTACCATGACTACAGGACAATAGAATCTATACAAAATATTGCAAAAAATGAGTGTAGGGCCTGTAACTGCAAAAGTATATGGTGACGATTGAATTTTAAGCCAATTGTTTAGCCCTTGCCTTGAACTAGTAGCATGTTTGGTATAGCTGTTGATAAATTTACAATGACACATATGGTAACAAAATATAAATTGCTAGATTTTAGGTGTTTAAATGCATAATTGCACTATTTAACATTTTTGCAGGTTCAATTGTTTATATAAAAACAGAAGAAGTCAATGTATTACATTCTTTTGGTGATAGGTTATTGGTCAAATCATGGAACACTGGCTTAGAATCTAAGTTAGATTTGGCTGCAATTAATTAATTTGAATTTTGTCAGGCCAAAATAATAGTGAGTGTTCTGGATTTCCTGACTAATCAACGGACAGAAAAAAAATAGAATTTTTATGAACTCTGTTAAATACACTTACTTTCTGGTTTGGCCTGAGTAAGCAATGGCAAGATGAAAAAGTAGATACAGAATTTTGATCTTTATATGTAATCACTTGTGATAAAATATTGTACTTTATTTTGTAGACGTGTTTTGATACTCCTAGATCTTAATGTTATAGCCAAAGGTAGTGATGTAGGAGTGAGGCTGGGAAACCCTCAGCAGTTTAAACCTGGGGAAGTGAGAAACGAAAGTAAGATTTGAGTTAAGAAAAAACATTATTACAACATTGTAAGAATTCTGAGATGATAAAAGAACGCTAAAACAGGCATTAATAAGGCTTTTTTTGGGGTCTTTTTCGAAAGAATATTCCTGCAGTTAATTGCTACTGATTTTATATAGTTATATATATGTTACAAAAGGTCATCCATTGGTGGCATTTGGCTGTTTTCTGCTCTTTGGTCCAGTTGTTGTCTCTTAGAGACATTCACTGTTCCCATTCTCTTTTCTGTAATGATTTCTTTGAAGTCAACAGTTGTGTTTTTTGTTTCATGTAACATTGACTTATACCCCATATCTTAGTATTTACATGTATATTAACTTTTGTAGATGCAGCACAACCAAATGGACAGCCTGTAGCACAAGTACAGTCCCCTGTTAAAAAAGAACAGCCATCAAATACATCAAATGGTAAGCCAATAAACATGTTGTAATTGTATTGGAGCGTCTGGCTTCTGTCATGAAATTGTACAAAAATGTTTATAGTACCAAACGATTATGGAGGAAGAAGTCAGACTAAATGATCAAGTTGATAAATTCATGCGATTAGAGGAAGAAGTCACACGTAAATGATCAAGTTGATAAATTCATGCGATTAGAGGAAGAAGTCACACGTAAATGATCAAGTTGATAAATTCATGCGATTAGAGGAAGAAGTCACACGTAAATGATCAAGTTGATAAATTCATGCGATTAGAGGAAGAAGTCACACGTAAATGATCAAGTTGATAAATTCATGCGATTAGAGGAAGAAGTCACACGTAAATGATCAAGTTGATAAATTCATGCGATTAGAGGAAGAAGTCACACGTAAATGAGCAAGTTGATAAATTCATGCGATTAGAGGAAGAAGTCACACGTAAATGATCAAGTTGATAAATTCATGCGATTAGAGGAAGAAGTCACACGTAAATGAGCAAGTTGATAAATTCATGCGATTAGAGGAAGAAGTCACACGTAAATGATCAAGTTGATAAATTCATGCGATTAGAGGAAGAAGTCACACGTAAATGAGCAAGTTGATAAATTCATGCAATTAAAGGCAAGTAATATCTTACTTGTGAAGAGTTAGCCTATAAGACTGGCAGATTATGCATAAATTAAACATTGGCTTTGATGGCTAAATGATTTAAGTCGTTCATCTACTGTATTACTAGTCTGTCATCACTATAAGACTGGCAGATTATGCATAAATTAAACATTGGCTTTGATGGCTAAATGATTTAAGTCGTTCATCTACTGTATTACTAGTCTGTCATCACTGAGGTAATGAGTTCGAATCCAGCATGTACGTTATACTCCTCTAATCTTAGTTGGCTAGGATTGTTAGTATTCCTGTAGGTCGGTTGTTCTATCCTGGCACTCCGGCTTCCTCCATCCATAATAAGTGACTGCTATGAAATGGACAATAGTGCTGAAATTGGCATCACACACCAATCAATCATAAAGTCAACGAATGGCAATTTAGCTATAATTACTGTTCTTGTTGAGTGAAACAAAGCGATTGCTTGTAATTAAAGGAAATAACACTCTAATTTTCAACACTGTTGTATGATACCCAGTTGATAAACAAATAGGGAATTCACTGTGAAAATCACAATCAAGAGTGACTGTTTCTTGTGTTTATGATGTCTTATAGGCATGACTTAATCGTGCTGTCTACAACAGTCAGGGGACTTACTTAAATGAGTGATTTTCTAAATCACTGATTCAAGTAACATTATGTCCATAAAGGTTTGAAGTAAGAGTTGTCTTTCTTTAATAATCACCTATTTAAGTAGTACAAATTAATCACTAGACTAAGTGATTTAATTTTATTGTAGCTTTAAATATAAAATACTAATGATCCAGGGACTAATTATGTTACTAAAATTATCAGAACCAACATCTGTGTTGATAGGATGACCGGTCATGTCAGGTGATGACCTTGTACTAAATCTAGGATAATGACATAAAAATCACTTGTTTAAGTATCATATCTCAATTTCCTTCCAAAAAATCACTTCTTTAAGTATCATTATTTTAATAACCCCCACTAATTTCAACACCCCCGAACAGTGAAATTTTGATCGCGAACAGTAGAATTTTATAACATAATCTATAAGATGAAACCTTGAATTTTACAGGAAAAATACTCCCACTGCTGGGAAAAATCTGTTAAGAAAGTATCAGTTCATTATGAAAAGCCATTTTTATAGCATTTTTTCAATTAAAATAGAATTTGCTGCTAAATGATTGCATCAAAGGCATAAACCTTGCTGCTTAAAAGAAGCAAAAAGTTCATGTTTTTCAGTTTTACTAATGAAAAGATATTATCGAAACCTATGTGTTTAAAATTTTAGTAAAACTACAAAATCACAATTTGTGACAAAACTTCGAATTTGCTACTTAAATAAGTGATTTAAAAATCACTTATTTCAATAAGTCCCCTGACTGTACAATGGCATCAAGAATGTTTAAGTTTGTGATTAGGTGATTTTAAGGGGACCGAACCACTACTGGTAGGACAAATATATTTTATGTGCAGTTGTATAAGCATTAGCAGGTCTCGCTTCGATGAAGATTATTTAGCCCCTCTGTCATGGTTCATTGACTTTGAAACTTTGCACAATTTTCATTTAAAAGTTTGTGTTTATGTCAGATTAAGGGGATCCACTTACATGTATGATAAGTCAATGGATTTTGGTGTACAATTGTACTAGCCCTTGCAGTTCTTATTTCCACAGAGATTGTTTGGCAATGCACCTTCAGTCATGGTCTATTGACATTGAATGTTAAAGTATTGCCATTTTAATTTAAACATTTGCATTACACAATCAAAATTTCATACAGGTGAGACATATCTCTCTGTCAATGTCTTATTAACTGAATCACCTTGTGTGTACCACAGTATATTACTTGTTTGTACAACTCGTTTGTTGGTTGCAGTTTGTGAATTAATCTTTTGATTGTTTTTTTTAGGACCGACTTCAGCCTACAATAGTAGACCTCCACAAAACACAGGTTCTAACTTCAGACAAGGTCAGTTACTAAACATGATTAAATTTACTACTGTAAATTCATAAATTATTGCGTGCATTTTTTATTGCGATTTTGTCATTTTAGAGTAAAATGCGATTTTAATTTTTGCGATATTGAGAAAAATCCTGTTTAATTCATATAAAAAATTTCAAAATGCGAGTTTAAATTATTTGGATTATAACCCTGTTGCATTTTTCGCAATAATAAAAACATCGCAATAATTTCTGAATTTACGGCATTTTAGTTGAGGACACTTAAGTTTTCATAGATGCTACTGGATACATTGAATCTCAGAACTTTTTGCATGAGCCTTTTTAAGGAAATTTTGCTTTTTTATTCTGAAAAAAAAATTGATGATTGGAAAATAAATGTAGTTTCAAATATTAAAAGTAACATATATTACTGTATACTTTGTACGGTGTTCCAGATTTAAACACATGGAAAGGGGACACTTTTTTAGAGACCAAACACAGCCCGAAGTGATATTTTTGTCCGCCGCGAACACGTTGCAGGGGATATAGAAATACTGGGTGTCCATCGGTCCTTATTAGTGTTCTCACTTGTACAATTCTTGCCAGATTTTTATGAAACTTGCATCTAGGGTTTATATCTGCAATGTCTTGGACGTGTTTGAAAATCAGTGCTGATCAATTATTTTTAAAGGAGTTGTGCCCCTTACATCATGTTACATTATTTTAATAATTTATATGGAAAATTGCATCATTATCACTCTCATGTGTACAATTCTTGCCAGAATTTTATGAAACATATCATAGGTTTATATTAGCAATGTCTTTGACGAGTTCGAAAATCAGTGCAGATCAAGTATTTTTAAAAGAGTTATGGCCCTTGGAAATATTGATCATATAGAAAATTGCATTGTTAGCACTCTCATGTGTACAATTCTTGCCAGAATTTTATGAAACTTATATCATAGGTTTATATCAGCAATGTCTCTGACGAATTCCAAAATCAGTGCAGATCAATTATTTTTAAGAGTATTTGGAAAATTGCATTGGTAGCACTCACCCCAGAATTTTATGAAACTTTTATCATTAGTTTATATCAGCAATGTTTTTGACACTTTCGAAAATAAGTGCTGATAAATTATTTTTATCTAGCTATGCCCCTTGGAAAAATTAATTATAATGGAAATCAGATATTTATAAATTGTTTTTGAAGATAAAATAATTTTTATTTTAGTTATTGCCCTTGGATGAATAAAATATATGCAGCGCAGGGGTCATTAGACTCTGCTCTTTCATGTTATTTGTCAAAGTATATGTTACACGAAAGATGTTTTATAAATAGGAAATATATGTGTTTCTTAAATTGGATATGTTAAAAAAATTAAATCTTTTAATAAAAATTGATGATGTTTAGGTAATAATCCACCAGCCAGTAATTATTCAATAAAGGCAGCCCCTGGAACACCAGGTACACCAGGCAGTACAAGAGTCCATTCTATTGCCAGTCTGACGCCATATCAAAACAGGTATCTACATCTACATGAGGAAGTTATATTTATAAAAATGTTTAAAAATCTCATGGATAAACAGACAGTGTAAAGTCTGCACAAAATTCTTATGGCCGCTTTCATTTTATGAATTTTACACAATTTGGAAAATATACAGTGTTCACAGTTGCCTTTTTGTAGGTTTCGAAGGTCTTTGATAATAAACCATTAGTTGACAATTTTTTTCTTACAAAAAGATCCATTAAATTGCTATTTTTAGACTTATATCCTTGTCATTTGGTCTCATTGGCAATCGAACCACATCTTTTATTTTTTATATACAGCCAGATTTTAAGCTTGATGTATGGCGTAGACACTTGTTTGTCACTTAAGCTTTGTGTTAACAGTTAGATGTCTTTTTTCTTATACTGCTGTCAGGTTGCTGTCTTGTTGGTGTTTACACAGCATTGTTCATTCACAGAAGTTATGTCAGCTTTATGCTGAAGTCAACTTAAATTATAATTAGGTTCTAGTGTGTGTTGATACAGTATATGTTAGTATTGTTACATATTTAAGGCTTCATTTATGTATTTCACACTTGGAAATTTTTTATACAAATTAAAACATGGATTTCATTTTTTCTTTAAAATAAACATTAATCAGTAAAAGAAGATGTGAGGTACATGTATATTTTGATATGACAGCAGCTAGTAAATAAAAGAACTAAAAAGATGCAAGAAGACAAACACATTTCTACATGCGTCTTCTGATGGTCACCTGGAAGCTCAAAAACAGGTACACTTGTCATTTGAAAAAAAAAGAATATTCTTAAATTTCCATGAAGGAACATGTTGAAATCAACAGCAGCATATATGAAATTTTATTACAGATGGCGGATCAGGGCTCGAGTAACACAAAAATCTGGTATCAGAACATGGAGTAATTCTCGAGGAGAGGGCAGACTGTTTAGTGTTAATTTCTTGGATGAATCTGGAGAAATCAGAGCTACAGGGTTTAATGAGGCTATTGATAAATACTATGACATGTTGGAAGTTAACAAGGTATACACACATTTTTAGATTTGAGAGAGAAAAGCATTTTGTTCGAGATCTCTGAACAATGAAGAAATGTTCCCATAGATGTTATGTAGAAATGTATTAGAATAAAAGTTCAAAAGTTTGAGTTTTTAGTAGAACTGTTATCAAATGTTTTTATAGATTCAGAGATGTTTCCTGTTTTAATAAGTGTTTTAATTTTATGTCTAAATGTCTAGAAAATGAAAGTTGTCAAAGTCATAGATTATCTCTTGTTTAGTAAGCTTGTTGGGGTTCATATTTTTATTTTTTTTAATTGCAGGTTTATTTTGTCAGCAGAGGAACGTTGAAAACAGCAAACAAACAATATAGTAATGTAAATAATGATTATGAAATGACATTTAATAATGATACAACAGTAGAAGTGTGCACTGATGATGTTGATTTACCAACTGTCAAATTTGAATTTACAAAAATTAACGAATTGGAAAGTAAAGCACCTGGCAATAATATAGGTAAGTTTAATGAAGTTCTGTCGTGCTCTCTATCTTAAATTGGTATATTTAAAAAAAAAAAATCTTCCTTAGAAGATGTATTGATAAGATAATATCAATAGATTTATATATTATATATTGCTTTTATATTTGTGTATATTTTGCTGTAAATTGGAAGTTAAAAAATAAAATAAAAAGTTTAATGAAGTTATGTTAAATCAAAACAATAATTAATTGAAAATAGCATAATGATTCAATCAGTTACAATAAATTTTAAATAAAGTGAAAAATTTAGACATAAAAAGCAATGCAAAGGTAATTCTTAAAATACATAAGAATTGTGTTCAAGTACTAGTTCATATACATGTATTTAAATATACAAAAAAAAAATGGTTGGAAAATTCGCACATAATCTGTTTTTTAAAAATCAACCACAAGTTAACTAGCTCACCAGACATGCATAGGTGGTAAAATGATATTCACTTGGTTCAGTGTTTACTTTTGGCTTTGTCACTAGATTTGTTTCATCTCAAACTAGCTTCCTTTGAACAGAAGTCTACTGTATGAAGTTGAATATCTTTTTTGTCAGTGGTTTATTAAATAAGTCTTTTAGAAATAATGTAACCTGGAGTTTAGGAGGCTGTAAATTTTGATCCTATATCTGATTAAATCAAGACTTTATATTTGCATTAGCTACTATGAGTAATGCTGCATATAGGAGTTTGAGCAAAGATTGGTCAGCTTGGAGTAGTATGAATAAAAACTTACTCAGTATGGTTAGGTTAGAGCAACCAAGATCATATTCATCTCATATTTACATGTTTGCATCTTGAATATCGTTGATAGAATAGCTCTGAAAATTATGTTAAATGAAGCTTGAATACAGTATGGTTTTTTTTTGCTTTTTTCAGATCTGATTGGAGTCGTTAGATCTTGTGGGGATGTTGGTACAGTGATTGGTAAGGCTAGTCAGAAGGAGATTACCAAAAGAGAGGTCCAGTTGTGTGACCAGTCTGGCATGGTCGTTAATCTGACATTGTGGGGAAATGAGGTAAGTATGGTTGACTTGAGAAATTATTTTATGAAATTCTGGTCTTGCTTCTCTCTTTCATAAAGGGCCTTGGTGGCCTAGTGGTCTAAGTAGTTCAACTTCTGTATTACTAGCCTGTCAACACTGAGGTTGTGAGTTCGAACCCCACATGGCAGGTGTGCTCGACTCCATTCTTAATTGACAAGGATTGTCAGTTTTCCTGCTGAAGGTCAGTGGTTCTCTCCAGGCACTCAGGCTTCTTCCACCAATAAAACCTGAGTGCCAAGAAATAGGCAATAGTGCTAAAAAATAAAGTGGGGTTAAACATCAATCAATCAATCACTTTCATAAAGATAAAGACTTTAAGAATATTCAAAGTTTGAGCCTTTATACTGGCATCAATCAAAAACATTACAGATAAACAAGGCAAAAAAAAATTGTCTTTATTTTTTAAATTGACATGTCCTTTAGATGACCTTATTCAGAATTCGCCAGAGCAGGTAACTATTTTGACCTACTTTCATTAAAACTTCATATTTGGGATGAAGTTGTATGTAGGACACTGTACAGTTTCTAATAATAAATAGACAATTATAATGCAATTTTTATCTAACAATGTTGTTCATTGGCTAAAAGTGATCAAATCCACAGTTGACATGTTGTAACTAAGGAGTAATCTGCCATTTTGAATTGCGTGGATCTACAAATGTTCGATTACTACGATTGAATCATAGAAGTTATGTTATAACCTTCAGTTTGTAAGTTCTCATTTGTATGACGTCACATTTAGCAATGACAGTCTTCACGATGAACTTGAAAATCTACAGGCCCGGAGCTCATTTTTTGGAAAATTTTAGTTAGATTCTGTTGGCCTGTAGATGATTTTTACAGGCCCGAGAGCAATTTTACAAGCTTGGGCTGCTGGGCCTGTGGTTCATCGTGAAGACTGCAATGACCTTTATGCGCTAAAATCTTCATGAAGTTTCACAGAATTTTATTTTATTTCAAATTTATACATTTATCAAACTCTTACATATTTCTTTTTTGTCGAGCCTTCGACTTTTGTCGAAAAAGCGAGACATAGCGATCCTACATTCCGTCGGCGGCGTCCACAAATATTCACTCTGTGGTTAAAGTTTTTGAAATTTTAATGACTTTCTTAAACTATCCTGGATTTCTACCAAACTTGGACAGAAGCTTGTTTATGATCATAAGATAATATTCAAAAGTAAATTTTGTAAAAAAAAAATTCCATTTTTTCCGTATTTTACTTATATATGGACTTAGTTTTTCTGCCAGGAAACATTACATTCACTCTGTGGTTAAAGTTTTTGAAATTTTAATAACTTTCTTAAACTATCCTGGATTTGTACCAAACTTGGAAAGAAGCTTGTTTGTGATCATAAGATAGTATCCAGAAGTAAATTTTGTAAAAAAAAAATTCCATTTTTTCCGTATTTTACTTATAAATGGACTTAGTTTTTCTGCCAGGAAACATTACATTCACTCTGTGGTTAAAGTTTTTGAAATTTTAATAACTTTCTTAAACTATCCTGGATTTGTACCAAACTTGGAAAGAAGCTTGTTTGTGATCATAAGATAGTATCCAGAAGTAAATTTTGTAAAAAAAAATCCATTTTTTCGTATTTTACTTATAAATGGACTTAGTTTTTCTGCCAGTTAACATTACATTCACTCTGTGGTTAAAGTTTTTAAAATTTTAACAACTTTCTTAAACTATCCTGGATTTGTACCAAACTTGGACAGAAGCTTGTTTATGATTAAAAGCTAGTATCTAAAAGGAAATTTTGTTAAAATTTTGTTCCATTTTTTCCGTATTTTACTTTAAGCTACTTACAATCAAAAGATAGTATAGAGAGGAATATTTTTATTAATTTTTTTCCTCATTTTTGTTGAGCCTGTGATTAACAGCAGAAGTAGGCGAGACACTGGGTTCCGCAGAACCCTTACGAATTTTTTATGCATTAGGATAGAAATAACAGTACTGTAGTGGAAAAGTTGTCACCGTCAACACAAACATCTGTTTTACTGTCTCCACTACGCATTGAGAGTATAAGAAATGCATTTGTGACTGTCAAATCACTAAATAACAATGTCTTCAACTACAGTATTGTTATTCCTTAATTGTAGATGTGTTCTGTATATTTCACTAATGATGAAAAACAGACAGGAATGTATTCCTAAAAGTATAATAATTTAATATATTGCAGGCCCAAACGTTTGATGGCTCTGGTTGTCCAGTATTGGCAGTAAAAGGAGCAAAGCTGTCAGATTACGGAGGTAAGTTTAGATATGAATTAGTTTTCGGATCTTGTAAACATATTGATTGAAATGGATCACATCTACAGGAGAAAAGTACGGGAAATTCAAAACTGTTGCCCTGTCTTTATTATTGTGAAAATTGTAACAAGACAAATAACAAAATGAAGTCACATTTTACAGCTGTTATCCTAATGCTAGCAAGTTAAAGGTTTGGTTGGCTTGCTTGCTTTGTTTGTATTAATGTTTGCTCAAGCATTGTAATTAAGATTGACATCTGCAAACAATTTAAGTAGGTGGAGTTAAACCTATAATAAATAAACGAAGTAGTATCCATATTTACATTTAGCACAGGTAAGCTAATTTGGCTATAAATAGATTACAGACTTGCAGTCTCTAAACTGAAATTGTATTTGTTTATTTTTGTTATATATTTTATTTCTTTAAAAATCAAATTTATTTGAATATCAATGAAGATTATCATGATTAATAAAATATTATTGCATCAAGTTTAAGTTTTCTGAAGACTGTTAATGTTTAGGTCATGGTTCTCGAGGATTCTTCACAGTATGTAAACAAAACAAAATGTCGTCTATAACATGTGGTCATGCACATGTTACAAATTTAGTTACATCTGACAAAAGTCAGATTTCTCTTGTCAAAAGGGATCCACATGTATATTGCAATAAATTATTCAGGAGTTACAATCAGTTTACATTATATTTCTCTGGTTGCATAAGCAATGTACAATACCCCCTGTACTGACAAATCGATATATTTGAAAGTACGGGAATGACGATCAATACATGATATGGGTCCACTCAGAGTTATTTGTTCTATTTTTAAAACATGTACAAAATCAGTTCAAATACTTGGAATCCCAGATGGCGTAGATGAATCTGATTGGCTAAGATAGAATAGTGATGAGGAGATTTTCAACTTTCTATTTTGGAAACGCCAAGAATTTTTTGTTACTAGTCCGTCGGGCATATTGGGTTACAAGTTTTGATTGCCCGAGGCCTAAATGCTGTAGTCCCGGGCATCGGGCTAGTGGATTTTTTAACCCCTGTAAAGGTGGTAGGCTGTCACTTTTTATAGGAGTGATTGCCCAGCCCCTTAAATAAGGATTTTTTTACCCTCTTTTGTGTTTTGAGCAAAAACTAATGAAGATAGAGAGAAACTAAACAGACTAAATGATCAGCAATACAAGATCAACAAAACAGAGATTTTTGTTATGGATTCTATTCTTGTCTTCAATGTTGGAGAGTGTCCTTTATTGAATATGCACATAGACCAAGGTGAGCGACACAGGCTCTTTAGAGCATCTAGTTGTCCATTGTTCAACAATCGCAATAACAAATGCACTTCAATTTTTCTGAATTGACAGTAATGGTCACCAAAATACTGTGCTGAGATATTGATACCAGCCGAATAGACTGTAAAAAATTATGGGATGTAATATAAGACATATATCGGTTTTCTAAGTACAATGTTGTATAATGCCATATTAGTTTTCTTTTGTATATCTCCACAGATTGATAAGAAATTAGACAATTTATAAATTCCAGAATGAAATAAGTATTTTTGAAAGGTATAGATTTTCTTAGAAAAAGAAATTTATTCCGCCATAATCAGTTCTTTGATGAAATTCCAAAATAGTCGCCATAGTGAAACACCATTGACACTTTACTTAGAAATAAAAAAAATATGGTTGTTAATCTTTATTGTAGTCGGGTTGGAAAGGGTAGTAGCACTGTATGTTAATAGTAAAAGATGGGACACTTATAAATGTCTTAGTCAGTAGCAGAGGCTTATTGGTTTATATCATTACAGGTCGTTCAGCATCAGTTTTGGCATCAAGTCAAATGTTAATAAACCCAGACATCAAAGAAGCTCATATATTACGAGGATGGTATGACCGTGATGGACAGTCATCAGAGTTCCAGACTTACCGTAGTGAAGGTGGTGGAGCAGGTGGTGGAGGTAATATAAGTTGAGGTGGTTGGGTGTTAGGTCAGTGATGGACATTCATTAGAGCTCTTAAACTTGTGGAAAGTAAAATCACAAAAATACTGAACTCCGAGGAAAATTCAAAAAGGAAAGTCCCTAATGAAGTGAACATTGCAGCTGAGGTGATGCTACTTGAGGAAATAGCAGTGTAAGAGATGACAATGTATCACTTCCTCAAGAAAATAATAAAAACTAATATTTTTAATAAACAAAATGCCATCTTAAAATCTTCAAGTAAAAAGCTTGTGAAGTCTTAACTTAACCCTTTAGCCCCCCAATCCCGCCTGTAGGCGTGATGGCGACAACCATTCTTTGATGGCCCGTATGACCCTCCATACCTTTTTTGAACTGCCCCAGCTGAACTGTCATGATAGCAGGGACTTCAACCAAGCAGTTCATGGTCCATAAACTCTTCTCAGATGTCTGTTCATGAAAATATGGCACTTTGAAAGCCGTTTAAGAGTTCAAAATCGGAAAAACGTGAAAAGTAGCCAAAATCAGGTGGGGGTGGGCATCTTTTGATGGCCACTACGTAACTGGTAGTGACTGTAGGTATAAACTATTATCATAAATGCATGCATAGGTGGTAAAGGAACACAACGAGGTATAATATGGCCAATAGGAATCTAGTCTGTAAAATCTAGGTCACCGTTTTGTCAAAAATCCGTAAAAACGGACATTTAGGCACACCTGACTTGACAATAATAATTCCCCAGCAAGACACTTAAGTCCAATATACTCCCAGTTAGCATGAATGGACTGCTGTAACTATAGGGTAATACTTGAATGACAAAGAAAAACAGTCTGGTCAATGTTCACCTCTCAAGGTCGTTTAAAAATCGGAAAATAGACGGAAAATTTACATTTTTCAGTGGGGGTGGGTTCAAACCCACGAGAAAATATTCCACCTCCCACCCCACCCCCCACCCATGCCATCCGCCCCGAAATCTCAATACATAGTTTAATAGATGAGCATCAGTTACAGCATCAAGAGTCTGCTAATTTGCATATAATTTGCATATGATTGCAAATTTTCGAAAATGCCTGATTTTCCAGAAATCTCTTGGGGGCGAATGAGTTAAGACTGACATTAAGAAAAGTTAACTATTTTTTGGTGTTGCTTGACTGTGTCCAGTTGTAGGTAGCAACCCATAGGAATCACTTCTACCATTGTTTGTGTCATACTTTGATCCTCAACTCCTTGAAGACTGCCAGAAAGAATTTTTGGCATGTCTTGCTTTCACTGTCCTAATCACAGACTTAAAACTTGGTATTTGCTCCTTTTCGGCCTGGAACACAGTGTTTAGGAATAAAAAAAAAAATGGTTGGTTTGCAGTCAGAATTGTGAGTTCTGGTAAGGTAATATGTCTACCTGATGATCGTTTCCTTGAGAGCTAGCATTTTCTTAATCCCTCTCTGTGTGTCATTTAGTAGAAACCAGGGTATGTTCTTTTGACACATGTACATCATCTGGTCCTGAATATGCATGTTTTTATTTGTCACTATATTTTGAACGACCATTATTCCATCACCACTTTTGAATTGGAACTTCAGTCAACTGCAATTTTTTCATCGAAGTTAACACTTGAAAAGCATGTGACTTGAATCATTCAATTTTAAATAAAAAATTCACCATTCATTAGAATACATCGATTTCATTTGTAGAAGCTGCCCACTTTCAGTTCAACAATGGTTACCTTCAAAATATAAAAACCTGCTTTGCTGTCAATGTGAGAGCTCATTTAATGTTCCATTTAAATTTTAGGTTCTTCTACCAACTGGAAATGTTTCAGTGAAATTAAGGCTGACAACAGTATTGGTCAGGGAGATAAGGCTGATTATTTCACCAGTAAAGGAACTGTTATATTCTTACGTAAAGAGAACTCTATGTATAAGGTAGGTATCATTGTTAAAATCAGGACTTGTAGTGTTATACTCATGAAACACTTTATCATTTAAGACAACAGGGCGTATTGTTTTAAAACTTTACTCAATACTCTGAATTTTTTGCTCGAAACTCCAAATCTAGTATTTTGTTCGGTTGAATTCTGAGTCTTGAGTATGATAGCTGTACTCTGAATTTTAATTACCGCATGGCAAGGATAAGTAAACATTTTATCAGCAAATTGCATTTGCCTATCAAATTTATATATTTTTTTGTATTTGATAAATCAATGTGAATTTGATCAGTAGCTGTTAAAAAAAGCATTACTATGCTATTTAGTAGTCTTGTGACCAAAGCGTTTTAAATTGTATTTATATGTCTCAACTAATAATTCACCAGTAAAGAGTCTTTTTATACGCCCGTCAAAATTTTGACGGGACGTATTATGGTATACAAATGTCCAGCGTCTGTCTGTCTGTCCGGCGTCCACATGTCACACGGTAACTTGAGAACGACTTATCCAAATTTCATGAAACTTAAGATAGTTATTTCTTATGATGGTCAAGCGATCTGTATACTTTTTGGTGAAAATAAGATTAAAACTTTTTGAGTTACGGGACTTTGAAACTAAAACAGGGGGTGTTTTTATACGACTGCAAAAATTTAAAAAATTTTGGTCGTATATTGGTATCACGTCGTCGTCGTCATCGTCAGTGTCGTCCGAAGACGGATGATTTCCAGATAATAACTTTAGTATAAGTAAATAGAAATCAATAAAATTTTAACATAAGGTTTATAACCACAAAAGGAAGGTTGGGATTGATTTGGGGGGTTTTGGTTCCAACAGTTTAGGAATTAGGGGTCAAAAAGGGGCACAAATAAGCATTTTCTTGGTTTTCGCACAATAACTTTAGTATAAGTAAATAGAAATCTACGAAATTTAAACACAAGGTTTATGACCACAAAAGGAAGGTTGGGATTGATTTGGGGAGTTTTGGTCCCAACAGTTTAGGAATTAGGGGCCAAAAGGGTCCAAAATTAAACTTTGTTTGATTTCATCAAAAATTGAATTATTAGGGTTCTTTGATATGCCTAATCTAACCGTGTATTTAGATTCTTAATTTTTGTACGACCGCAAAAAAATTTTGTGGTTGTATATTGGTATGACGTTGGCGTCGTCGTCGTCGTCGTCCGAAGACACATTGGTTTTCGCACTCTAACTTTAGTTTAAGTGAATGGATCTCTATGAAATTTTACCATAAGGTTCAATACCACAAAAGGAAGGTTGGGATTGATCTTGGGGGTTATGGTACCAACAGTTAAGGAATTAGGGGCCAAAAATAAGCATTTTTGTAACTTCCAGACATAACTTGTGTGTAAGTAAAATTGAGAATGGAAATGGGGAATGTGTCAAAGAGACAACAACCTGACTATAGAGCAGACAACAGCCGAAGGCCACCAATGGGTCTTCAATGCAGCGAGAAACTCCCGCACCCGGAGGCATCCTTCAGCTGGCCCCTAAACAAATATGTATACTAGTTCAGTGATGTATGGATCTCTCTGACATTGTACCACAATATAAGTTATATGGTTTGCTACTGACCCCCTACGGATCCATAGGGGGTGAGGCCGAAGGCCGAATCCCCTGTGGATTTTGTTCACCCTCTATAGTCCGTAGGGGATCAGTAGTGAACCGTATAACGAAGGGCCAAGTGAGCTTTTCTCATCACTTGGCGTCCGGCATCATCCGTCGTCGGTGTTAACTTTTTACATTTTGAACTTCTTCTAGAGAACCACTGAATGGAATGAAACCAAACATGGCATGAATGTTCCTTATGAGGTGCTGACCAAGTGTTGTTACTTTGTAGCCGATCCATCATCCAAGATGGCCGCCAGTGGGGGACTTAGTTTAACATAGGACCCTATGGGAAATGCATACAAATGACTTCTTTTAGAGAACCACTGAATGGAATGAAACCAAACATGGCATGAATGTTCCTTATGAGGTGCTCACCAAGTGTTGTTACTTTGTAGCAGATCCATCATCCAAGATGGCCGCCAGCGGGGGACTTAGTTTAACATAGGACCCTATGGGAAATACATACAAATGTCTTCTTTTAGAGAACCACTGAATGGAATGAAACCAAACATGGCATGAATGTTCCTTATGAGGTGCTGACCAAGTGTTGTTACTTTGTAGCCGATCCATCATCCAAGATGGCCGCCAGCGGGGGACTTAGTTTAACATAGGACCCTATGGGAAATACATAAAAATGTCTTCTTTTAGAGAACCACTGAATGGAATGGAACCAAACATGGCATGAATGTTCCTTATGAGATGCTCACCAAGTGTTGTTACTTTGCAGTCGGTCCATCATCCAAGATGGCCGCCAGCGGGGGACTTAGTTTAACATAGGACCCTATGGGAACTACATAAAAATGTCTTCTTTTAGAGAACCACTGAATGGAATGAAACCAAACATGGCATGAATGTTCCTTATGAGGTTCTGACCAAGTGTTGTTACTTTGTAGCTGATCCATCATCCAAGATGGCCGCCAGCGGGGGACTTAGTTTAACATAGGACCCTATGGGAAATACATACAAATATCTTCTTTTAGAGAACCACTGAATGGAATGAAACCAAACATGGCATGAATGTTCCTTATGAGGTTCTGACTAAGTGTTGTTACTTTGCAGTCGGTCCATCATCCAAGATGGCCACCAGCGGGGGACTTAGTTTAACACAGGACCTATGGGAAATACATACAAATGTCTTCTTTTAGAGAACCACTGAATGGAATGAAACCAAACATGGCATGAATCTTCCTTATGAGATGCTGACCAAGTGTTGTTACTTTGTAGCCGATCCATCATCCAAGATGGCCGCCAGCAGGGGTCTTAGTTTAACATAGGACCCTATGGGAAATACATAAAAATGTCTTCTTTTAGAGAACCAATAAATGGAATGGAACCAAACATGGCATGAATGTTCCTTATGAGGTGCTGACCAAGTGTTGTTACTTTGCAGCCGATCCATCATCCAAGATGGCCGACAGTGGGGGACTTAGTTTAACATAGGACCCTATGGGAAATACATACAATTGTCTTCTTTTAGAGAACCACTGAATGGAATTGAACCAAACATGGCATGAATGTTCCTTATGAGTTGCTGACCAAGTGTTGTTACTTTGCAGTCGATCCATCATCCAAGATGGCCGCTAGGGGGGGGGGGGCTTAGATTAACATAGGACCCTATGGGAAATACATACAAATGTCTTCTTTTAGAGTACCACTGAATGGAATGAAACCAAACATGGCATGAATGTTCCTTATGAAGTGCTGACCAAGTGTTGCTACTTTGTTGCCAATTTACTGTTCAAGATGGCCACCAGGATATTTTATTAAATAACGGGACCAATATTAATCAAAATTTGGCCTCAATCATTATTTGGGTATCTGTTATGATTTTTATCTATCTTTACATGATTTCTAAAACCAAAGTAGAGTCAGGTGAGCGACACAGGCTCTTGAGAGCCTCTTGTTTTCCTTCTTTTTATTTCTTTAAAATTTTCCATTTTAAATTGGTTATTTCTGATTTATATATAAAAGCACTAATAATGATATGGTTTGAATAGGTTAATTAAAAAAATTTAAGTACTTAGACCACATTCATTCTGTGTCAGAAACCTATGCTGTGTCAAATATTTAATCACAATCCAAATTCAGTGCTATCAAGCTTGAATGTTGTGTCCATACTTGCCCCAACTGTTCAGGGTTCGACCTCTGTGGTCGTATCAAGCTGCGCCCAGCGGAGCATTTTATTGGTCCTGTTTTCAAATTGGTCTACATTAAGGTCCAAAGGGTCCAAAATTAAACTTAGTTTGATTTTAACAAAAAATGAATTCTTGGGGTTCTTTGATATGCTGAATCTAAACATGTATTTAGATTTTTGATATTTGGGCCCCTTTATCAAATTCGTCCACATTGAGTTCTAAAGGGTCCAAAATTGAACTCTATTTGATTTCATCAAAAATTAAATTCTTGGGGTTCTTTGATATGCAGAATCTAACCATGTATTTAGATTTTGGATATTGGACCATAATAGGTGAATGTCCAATTTAATTTTTAGCTCACCTGGCCCGAAGGGCCAAGTGAGCTTTTCTCATCACTTGGCGTCCGTCGTCCGGCATCGGCGTTAACTTTTTACATTTTGAACTTCTTCTAGAGAACCACTGAATGGAATGAAACCAAACATGGCATGAATGTTCCGTATGAGGTGCTGACCAAGTGTTGTTACTTTTGTAGCCGATCCATAATCCAAGATGGCCGCCTGCAGGGGACTAAGTTTAACATGGGACCCTATGAGAAATACATACAAATGTCTTCTTTTAGAGAACCACTGAATGGAATGAAACCAAACATGGCATGAATGTTCCTAATGAGGTGCTGACCGAGTGTTGTTACTTTGAAGCCGATCCATAATCCAAGATGGCTGCCAGCGGGGGACTTAGTTTAACATGGGACCCTATGGGAAATACATACAAACGTCTTCTTCTAGAGAACCACTGAATGGAATGAAACCAAACATGGCAAGAATGTTCCTTATGAGGTGCTGACCAAGTGTTGTTACTTTGAAGCTGATCCTTCATCCAAGATGGCTGCCAGATGTGGACAATGTTTAACAAAGGACCCTATGGACAATACATACAAATGTCTTCTTTTAGAGAACCACATACTGAATGGATTGAAACCAAACATGGCATGAATGTTCCTTATGAGGTGCTGACTAAGTTTTGTGACTTTGAAGCTGATCCTTCATCCATGATGGCCGCCAATGGGGGGACTTCCTTTAACATAAGACCCTAAAGGAAATACATACAAATGCTTCTTCTAGAGGTGCACTGAATGGAATGAAACCAAAACATGGCATAAATGTTTCTTATGAGGTGCTGATTAAGTGTTGCTACTTTGTTGCCGATTTACTGTTCAAGATGGCCACCAGGATTTTTTATTAAATTACAGGACCAATATTAAACCAAATTTGGCCTCACTCATTATTAGGGTATCTGTTATGATTTTAATCTATTTTTACATGATTTCCAAAACCAAAGTAGAATCAGGTGAGCCACACAGGCTCTTGAGAGCCTCTAGTTTTAAGTTCTTAGACCACATTCATTCTGTGTCAGAAACCTATTCTGTGTCAACTATTTAATCACAATCCAAATTCAGAGCTGTATCAAGCTTGAATGTTGTGTCCATACTTGCCCAACTGTTCAGGGTTGGACCTCTGCGGTCGTATCAAGCTGCGCCCTGCGGAGCATCTGGTTTTCACATGTCGTGGCGTATCTCAAAAACGATATATTGCTTAAAACTTTACACACTTCTTAATTATATTAATCTAAAGATCTGTATACTTTTTGGTGATGATTTAAAATTTTATTTTAGAGTTATTGAGTTTTTTGTAAAAAAAAAAGGGGGGGGGGGGGGTTTTCACATGTCGCACCGTATCTCAAAAGCGATTTATGATTATTGCTTAAATCTTTACACACTTCTTAATTATATTAATCTAAAGATCTGTATACTTTTTGGTGATGATTTAAAATTTTATTTTAGAGTTATTGAGTTTTTTGTAAAAAAAAAGGGGGGGGGGGGGGTTTTCACATGTCGCACCGTATCTCAAAAGCGATTTATGATTATTGCTTAAATCTTTACACACTTCTTAATTATATTAATCTAAAGATCTGTATACCTTTTGGTGATGATTCAAAATTTTATTTTAGAGTTATTGATTTTTTTATAAAAAAGGGGGGTTTTCACATGTCGCCCCGTATCTCAGAAACGATTTATGATTATTGCATAAAACCTCACACACAAGACGACGGGCGTATCATGCGCTCGTGGCGCAGCTGTTTATTTTATTTTGGCAGGATTGTGGATCACTAAAATCCTTATTGAAATTTATTTTGATTAAAAAAAAATATGAAATTAAAATAGGTTATTAATGCTCTGTTGCTCAGATCAAAAGTACTTAATTTTTATACGCCCGTTTACGGGATGTATTATGGTATACCATTGTCTGTCCATCCATCGTCAACATGTCAGACAATAACTCAAAAACCCTTTAACCACTTTGCATGAAACTTTGGTGAATTGTTTATATCTATTGATGTGAGCTCCCTTTTGTTTTTTATAAATTTTAGATTTTACATTTCTTGAGTTATTGGGTTTTATTTATTAAAAAAATGGGTGATTTTCCAATCTTTCGGACAATAACTCAAAAATGCTTTCAGCAGCTTTCATTACACTTTGGTGAATTGTTTATATCTGTTGACGTAAGCTCCCTTTCGATTATTATAAATTTTAGATTTTAAGTTTCTGAGTTATGGGATTTTATTCATAAAAAAGGGGTGATTTTCCAGTTTTCGGACAAAATATCTTTTGAGTGCTTTGAGGAGTTTTCATGAAAATTTGGTGACTGGTTAATATCTATTAAGATAACCTCCCTTTAGTTTTTCATAAATTTCTGATATGACATTGAGACGTTATTGAACTTTATTCTTTTTAAAAGCGACGGGCGTATCATGCGCTCATGGCACAGCTGTTTATTAGCTTTTCTCATCACTTGGCGTCCATTGTCGTAAACTTTTACAAAAATGATCAGCAAGACAAGATCTACAATGAAGACAATATAGAGGAAATCATCCGAGGACTCCTTATTGGAGTTATTGCCCTTAAATGACGATTGTTACCATTTTTTTACGTTTTGCCTTAGGGCTATTCCATTAAAATGTATGTGGGAGGGTAGGAAAGGACTTTCAAAATATCCCTACAACCAAGAACCATTTTTTAGATAATTTTGCATAATGGTAATAGACGCATACTGAAAAAAGACCCATGACCCACATTCAATAATTAAACTTCCCTTCCTACCCTCCCACATACATTTTAATGGAATAGCCCTTATTATGTGATAAAAATTATAATAGACCCCTTAAATCACAAAAATTATCAGCAAGGCAAGATCTGCTAACAAATCAAATTTTGCCGATATAGTTATTAGACTGTCACTCTTTATAGAAGTGATTGACCTTAAATGAGGATTTTTTTTACCCTCTTTTGTGTTTTGAGCAAAAACTAAAGAAGATAGAGAGAAACTAAACAGACTAAATTATCAGCAATCCAAGATGTCATGAATTCTATTCTCGTCTACAATGTTGGAGAGTGTCATTTGTTGAATATGCACATAGGCCATGGTTAAATTTAAAAGTTATCTTATTACATATATGCTAGAAATATTTGCTACTGGACATTACAATAACCAGTGTTCCAGCTTGAATCTCAGGGCAGAAGGGTGCTAGTTGTCTGAAAGGGCACTTTAGCGCAATAACCCAGATTGTTAGGGCACTGTATAAATTACCTTGAATATTGTTAGGCTCAGCTGAAGAACATTAATTGTACTTCAAGCATATATAGATATTATTGTGTTCCAGTAGGAATATTTTTATAAAATTATCATATCATGGAGCAAAGCATATCATTTTCAAGCATATATAGAAATTATTGTGTTCCAGTAGGAATATTTTTATCAAATTATCATACCATGGAGCAAAGCATATCATTTTCAAGCATATAAAGAAATTTTTGTGTTCCAGTAGGAATATTTTTATCAAATTATCATACCATGGAGCAAAGCATATCATTTTCAAGCATATATAGAAATTATTGTGTTCCAGTAGGAATATTTTTATCAAATTATCATACCATGGAGCAAAGCATATCATTTTGATTATAATCTAAACAAACTTGTACATTTAGTATGGAAAATAATCATCAGCTATTTCAATGTTTTATAACTGATACCAGTCTATAAAAATAAAAAAAGTAGTATTGAAAGATGGAGGAATACATGCAAAATTGAATTTTTAATGCAATAAAATTATCTACATTTAAATTACTTGTTCTAACATAACATTTAAATTGTTACAAAAAAGTATTTTTTAAGTGTACACCAAAGTGCTCCTAAGTAAGGAGTTTTATAAATATAACAGGTGAAACAGGAGATGATAATATTATATTGATGCATACATGCATACATTGCAGAAGGTATTAACAGTTAATTTTTTTCTCCATAATTGTTAAAAATAAAAGCATTTGTTAAGTGCTCCTATGTAAGGAGCATTATAAATACAAGAAGTAAAACAGGAAGTGGTGCAATCTTGTTTATTTTCAAAATATGAATTTCTTTAAATTTCTTTCTCAGGGTTATGAAACAAAACATTTTTTTAACAATTTAGTCAAAACTATGTATGCCTTTAAATTTTTTTAACATTTTATTTTTATTTAATGCCTACTTAAATAAAGTTTTTCAGGTGTTCATGCTGTACATAAACATCACAAATGGATAACATGTGGACATTTTCATTCGGTTTTGAATATCTAGTATTTGTTCAATTATCTTAAAGCCCCTAATTAGCAGTAAACAATCATTAACAGAGGTGTAAAAACTGTTAAAAGGCAAGGTAATTAACTGTATCCCATTGTCAGTTAATTAGAGTGTTACACAATCAGGTAATAGTTTTACCGGAAACGCAGATAGGCATGTAATTTGGAAATTTTATTTTTTGAAAAGGCAGAGTGGTGCATTTTTTTGCTTTGAAGGGCAGGGGTAGGGCACCAAGGGCTAGCCGCCCTTCTTTTTTGGGCAGGCGGAAACACTGAATAACCATCCGTCAGTCATTCACTATTCTTGCAAATGATATCTTGATAATTTAACATTAATAAAGATTACAAAAGACTATATTTTCAATGTGATTGTCATGATTGTAGGCTTGTCCAAAAGAGGCTTGTAATAAGAAACTCATTGACCAAGGAAATGGTATGTTTAGATGTGAAAAATGTAATCATGAAGTGCCAAACTTTAAATGGAGAATGATTTTATCTGTAAGTACTTATTTCTATTCTCAATTAATGTAACCATATATTATTTAAATCTGCATATCAATATAAGGAGGTGAAAGTGGATTTTGCTTCTTGAATGTGAGTTACATCATGCACGCTTGATCTTTATGCAGTGTGGAAAAAATATATACAATGTGAATAGAATAGGGAGAAAACATTTCCCGTGTTTTTTACCTTCTGATCAGATAGGATAATGAGGGATACATTGCCAACCATGCATCCAACAACATGACATCATAATTAAGTCTCTCAAACGAAGTTTGGGAAGACTTATTGTTTTTGCTCAGTTATTATTATTATTCTTCTTCTTCTTCTTCTTCTTCTTCTTCTTCTTCTTCTTCTTCTTCTTCTTCTTCCGCCGCTTTTAAATTTGAACTTGTCCGCACCCGTTCTCCAAAACCGCTTGTCAGATTAACTTAGGGTTTCACAATATGTTAGACTAACATGTCTAATGGTGCAATCAGGGTTTTGTTTGTGCAATGGGGTTTATAAAGGGGTACTTTGAGGGGCAAAAAGAAAAGAGGGTTTTACTATAGAACCCTATGGGATTTTATTTTTTAAATTTTCAAATGATTATAAATTGAAAACCATTTGTGATAGACACAATCTTTTTAATTGAAAATGTTCTAAATGATAAAGCCCATTAAATGAAATACAGGGTTAGTCCCCAGGGGCCACCCCACCCCCTGCCATTTAAGAAAGTTCTAATACCTTGTAAGTGGTCAAGATCCCCACCCCTAAACCATATATATTTTGGTTTGTTATGCTAAGATGGTTTGAATGATATACAGGGTTAGTCCCCAGGGGTCATCCTGACCCCCTGCCATTTGAGAAAGTTCAAATATCTTGTAAATGGTCGAGATCCCCACCCCTAAACCATATATATTCTGGTTTGTCATGATAAAGCACATCAAATGAAATACAGGGTTAGTCCCCAGGGGTCACCCCCACCCCCTGCTATTTAAGAAAGTTCTAATATCTTGTAAGTGGTCAAGATCCCCACCCCTAAACCATATATATTCTGGTTTGTCATGCTAAGATGGTTTGAATGATATACAGGGTTAGTCCCCAGGGGTCATCCCGACCCCCTGCCATTTGAGAAAACTCTAATATCTTGTAAATGGTCGAGATCCCCACCCCTAAACCATATATATTCTGGTTTGTCATGATAATGCATATCAAATGAAATACAGGGTTAGTCCCCAGGGGTCACCCCCACCCCCTGCCATTTAAGAAAGTTTTAATATCTTGTAAATGGTTGAGATCCCCACCCCTAAACCATATATATTCCTATTTGTCATGTCTTGAACATTTGAATGACGTATACGGTCAGTCCCGAGGGGTTCCCCCCACCCCCAATGTTCTAATATCTTGTAAATGGTTGAGATCCCCACCCCTAAACCATATATATTCCTGTTCGTCATGTAATGAACATTTGAATGACATATAGGGTAAGTCCCCAGGGATTCCTCCCCACCCCCAATGTTCTAGTATCTTGTAAATGGTCAAGATCCCCACCCCTGAACCATATATATTCTGGTTTGTCATGCCAAGATGATTTGAATGATATACAAGGTTAGTCCCCAGGCATCACTAATGCATATAACTTTACTGGACCAAACCAATTTTCACTGGACGTTGCCCAATGTCAGGGGACCCTGGGAATTACGAATTATGGGAGCTTCGTTTGGGAGACTTCGTAACAGCATCCTGTTACAATCATTTCTTGTTTCCTGTGTTTTGTACCTTCTGATCAGATAAGACAACAATGGATATAATGCCAACCATGCCACCAACAACATGACATAATTTCCAAAAGAAGTAATACCCAGTAGATTGTTTTACTGCATAGCAAAATTAATGGTTTAAAGGAACAAGTAGTATATACACTTGTATCAGTTTTGAATTTCAGTATTGTATATAACATTTGTAATAAAGTGAAATTTGCTCATACTTTTTGTCTTATTCGGTGCATTTTTTTTTAATGTAGGCAAATCTGGCAGACTTCTCTGACAACCAGTGGGTAACTTGTTTCCAGGAGTCAGCTGAACTTATACTAGGAAAACCAGCTGATGAGTTAGGAGACCTTAAAGATACAGTAAGTCTAACTTATACTAGGGAAACCAGCTAACGAGTTAGACAACCGTACGTCCTTCAAAAAAAGAGAAAAACCCATACTGTATTGTCGGCTATAAAAGGCCCGCACATGAGAAATATGAAACAATACAATTGAGAAAACTAGCGGCGTTTTATAACAAATTAATTAACAAAAAAACAAATATGATGGACATAAACCAATGACAACCACTGAACTACAGGCTCCTGACTTGGGACAGGAACATACAAAATGTGGCGAGGTTAAACAAGTTTGTGTTTACATACCACTATCCCAATATTTCCCCATTATATTTGTTGAAAAAGTGCTGAATTGATAAATTTGATAAATTTCTCTTGGTTTGTTAACTGTTTCATAATAACTAGATAAGAAAAAGAGATTTACGGGAATATAAAGTTATGTAAAAGTCAAAACTTTAGAAAATAAGAAAACAATTCATTATCCAAATGTCTGCATGTTAGGCTTGTTGTTAGATATTTACACTGTTTATGATGGAACTAACTAATATTCTCCAAAAATAGCTGCTCAGTAAACAACTTATGTGATAGATAAAAGAAGACATGTACCAAAACTATATGATCGGTTTACCCTTGTCTAACAGCCAAAATAGTGTTAAACTTAATCAATTTTAAATTTCACCCAAGGAAAGCAAATACAATGTACCTTCCTATTAAATTATTGATGTCATAAACAACATGTAGACATCTACGATACAGGCCTGTACACTTGATTGTTCTGTAAGTCATTACGTTATATTATCGAAATGAACGAATTTACAGGAAAAATTAATTACCAGGCTTGAGGGTATATAGATTGTAGTTGAATTTCAAACTGGCAAGTATAGAAGCGGACTTGGTTTGCCTAGTGGGGGGGTGTTATGTTAAACATGATAAGCTCCAATTTGTTTAATAGAAAAACAAAGGATATTGGGTATCCATCTATGAAACAAAATCAGTACATGCACAGCTAAAAACAAACAATAAGCAAAAGAACAGCACTTTTATTGGTGTTCTTCATCACAAAGTCACAGTGAGGCCTTCAACACCGAGCAAAAAGCTCTTTCACCTCACTGCAAAATTAAGATGGGCCCTAGCACCGACTTGAGCAGAATTCTTTGCAAAAATAATTTGAAAATAATTTGTATAGGCTTAGTAAGATGTAACACTATCAAATCAGTGTCTAGTTCCATCATAAGATTGTAGGAATTGATGAATACTTTATTGTTGGGACTAATTGAGCTTATATTTTCAGAATGAGGCAGCATATGACCAGGCATTTCAAGACGCAATGTTCAAATCGTATATCTTCCGATTGCGAGCAAAAATTGAAACGTATAATGTAAGTGTTAAGTTAGATATTTTTTATTCTTATTTTGATTGAAGTGACTCCTTTACACGGTTCTTTTTAAAAATTATGAAGCTCACATGCTTTCCATATTTAGGATTTTCATGAAATACCGTCTTCTGGTGCGTTTAAAATGCAGTCCTGCATAGTTTGCACCCCTTTTTTGGCCCTTGAAACTTAAGAAAAAAGTTACTTCATATGCTTAAGACGCAGGGACTTTCTGGAAAAATCCCGACTTAAACTAAGTAAAAAGTGTCCATTGAAAAGTGATTTTTCCGGAGACAAATTGAACTCCAGTCCTGGTTGATTACAGGCTAAGGAAAATATTGTTGCAGAATAAATGATTTTAGCAAACAATGCCTGAATTTTTATTGTATCCAAGGATGTGTTTGATTGAGAGCAAAAGGAAGTGTTAAATAGGGAAGTTTAAATGCAAATCACAGTCTGAATCTTGTATGGAATACAGGACCATTACTAATATTCTGCAATACACAATAAATAGATAAATTGTAATATTTATGTTGATACATTGCTGAAATAGATATAATTAATCTCTGCAAATTTTATTAATTGTTTGTTGGTACTCATTGAATCGTTTAATCCGGATTATCACACTCTTATTGAATATCAATTAGGAAGTGTAATCGTCATCAAAACAAATCAATTGACAAATGATAGTTCAATGCTGAATTTCAGCTATTGAATAAAAAACTGTGAAATTAATTCTACAAACTGTAGCTGTTTCAAATCAAATTAATGGAGAAAAATGTATTGTCAGATTTCTTTTTAGTAATAGAAATAGAATGTTTTCCAATACATGTAAGAATTGATATTTAGAAGATGATAGAAATATATAATTCAGTACATGATTATGTGTCAGATTTCTTCTAAAAATATTTCCTGATGCTTAAAAGGAAGATTTTTTTTCAAATTGCAGGATGAAAGCAGACTAAAGACAGTATGTGTTAACGCTACACCTGTAGACTGGGCAGAACAAAGCAGAAGATTGATAGAAGAAATTGAGAAGTTACAGGCATCATGAAATATATGTCCTGCTTCAGACTCTTTAAGAACTATTAAGTTATTCCTGGACAGAAGGATGTCAGTTTTAAATGTACAGTGTAGATATCAATATATGAGCAGAGTCGGATAGAAATCGACAATGCAAGTGAATGTATAAGACTTTGATTGATTTTAGAACATTCAAATACAAAATAAAAGATGAATTTTTGTCTGTTTTGTATGGTTCTTATATCAACTCATTTTTAAAACAGTAACAGACTTGTTGCATCAAGATTTTTTTCACCCGAAATAAGTTAACAGATGTAATGATATTTATTTGCACAAGGTCGATTTCCATCCAACACAGATCATATGATAAATTGTATTGATCAAGTATTCAGCATGATTGACTACCTATATATTTGCATTTAACATTCTTGTAAATTACTTTTAAATTAAGAAAATGTATTTGTACAAAAACTTACTAAAGATGGCTTATTAGAAGTTTTCCTGTTTGGTTTCCTGAATAACTGCTAAATCATTTAGAAATCTGTTGTCAAATCCAAAATTGAATCTTCTAATTTATTTGTTTCATTTTTTTGTGGTCAATTTCTACTTCTTGCACAAGATGTTAACTTCGGGAGATAATATTACAAAACCTAACGAGTACTGTAAATACAGAAATGTTTTTATTGTGTAAATTGCAAAGGGAAATGGTTCGCTTAAATGAAAATTTGAGTTTTAAATTTTGATAGCATTATTTGTATTCATCATTTCCTGAAATAATTGATCTCACATTTTTGTCAACTGTTCAAAATTGGCAACAATAAATTTACAGCAATTTTTCTTCAGCTATGTAGACATCATTTAGACCATCACTGTGAAAGTAAGATATATATTTTTAAGTGCTGTTTATTAATATTTGTGCTATATATAACGCTGTATTATTCGTTTTGTTTAAAGGTGCATATAGTGAGATGTGGGTATTTTTTTTTTGGGGTGTATAACACCAAACAAAATGTGTTTAGTTTAAACTATTTTGGATTTCACTTCCATAGATGGAAATGAAGAAAACCAATTTCTGTTAATTTAGTTTAAACTTATGTTAAATTTTTCAGTGAAATAAATGCATATAATTTTTTTCAATTTGAAATTTATTATGCATAAAATATGCATTTAATTTCATATTAAATGCATCATTTCATGCGGACAGCATTAGCTGTGCACCACATAAACCTTAAGAATTTGTTGGCTGTACATGTGTTCAGTAGTAATGTCTATGTCACACACTTAACAGATCCTAGCAATAAAGTGCATGAAATTATTTCCAGGTTTCCATCCACCTTTGACATTCATATCAGGAAGGATTTTGATTTAGTTTATTGTTCAATTCACTAAAATGGTTAAGAATTTAAAAGAATTGCGTATAAATTTAAATATGATGAATATGATTAAAGTATTAATGAATATGATTAAATTATTAAAAGAAGGGGAAGGTTGAGAAATTAAAAATTTTAAATATCTGTTAAATCTCTTTCTTTCTATATGTAGAACTGTATGAGAACATGGGTTCAATTGTTAAAACTTTAAGAGAGCATAAAAATTGATGAGAATGTCACTGAATTATGTAATACACCAAATAAATCATGTTATACTTTTAATTTGAGATGATATGTAGTTGCTATAATAGACATTTTTTTTTGTGACTTCATTAAATAAAAATCATAAAAGTCAACATGTATATTGTTCTATTCAGTTGATATAACAGTATGAAAATAAGAAGATGTGGTATGATTGCCAATGAGACAACTCTCCTTTTAAGAGACCAAATGACGTAGAAGGTTAGTAACTATACATCGTACGGCCTTCAACAATGAACAAAACCCATACCACAGGGTTTTTGTTTGATATTTGGAAACCTAAGTAAATTTTTTGAAAGCTAGATAAAGGTATTGGTTTTCGTCTGATGGTAAAATGAGTTGTAATTGCCTATATTTCTTATCAATACTTTTACCTTGGTCCCAAAATTCTGTCTGGAAGTAGCTTTTGTTGGCAAAAAGAGATCTTGTCATTCAGTCCTTGTAAGTAGGCTTTTTTCACATTCGCAAGATCAAGTAAATGACTTTGATCCATTTTACTTTTTAAAGATTTTGCAGTATGTTTATTGTTACATGAGTGACCTCAGGGATCTTGCAAAATTAAATATGTGTAAAATTTTTTTTTTTTTATTTATGGTTTTGATAAGAAATTTATTTTTATTAAAATATATATATATGTGTGAACAGTGTCAAACTCCATTACCCCATATTATAGATATAAAGTCACTTCCACTCCCCCTAAAACTAGTTTTGGAATAGTACTCATATTTAGGTGCAGATGATCTGCCATCAGACAGTTTTCTCATCAGGATCTTTTCATTGAGTTATTGTCCTTGAATGATGAATTTTGACTAATCTAAAAAAAAACACAGTATGACCAAACCACTTTAGAAACAGGAATCAGCAAAAATGATCAGCAATACTAGAGCTACAAAAATGTCAGTATAAAGAAATTCATAAAATGACTACCTGTAGTATCTAGTGCCCTTGAATGACGATTTTAAGGAAGCCAATGGTGCCTTATGGTAGCACTCCAGATATTAAAAGAACATAATGTCTACAGTAGTAAAAATACAATGCAAAAAATAGAACTTCAGATGTGTACATGACTTGCAGAAAGTATATAGCACAATTTTAGATATCTTACACCAAATTTTCATGTGAAATTTGCCCATAAAAGAATTTAAATGAACATATGTGAAGATGAACAGCTACTAAATTTACAATACATTCGAAATTGCACTTGTGCAAGTTGATATTAATCTCAATCTTATGGCCTTATGGCACCATTGTACCACGATATGAATCCTTCACGAATGCTGATAAGCTTATAGTTGCTTTTTTTGATGCGTCTGCTGATAAGATTTAGACTGAAGTGTTCCGATCTTCAAAATCTTTCTGTTTGGTAAATGAAACTGCAACTGCTTTGAAGGTGTTTTTGTTACTTTTTGTTTCACTCTTATTTGGCCCATTTTTAGACGACCGCAAAAAAATTTTTGGGATCGTATAATGGTATGATGTCGTCGTCGTCTGCGTCGTCGTCCGAAGACATATGTTTCCGGACAATAACTTTACTTTAAGTGAATGGATCTCTATGAAATTATAAAGAAGGTTCAATACCACTAAAGGAAGGTTGGGATTGATTTTGGGGATGATGGTCCCAACCGTTTAGGAATTAGGGGCCCAAAACAAGCATTTTTCTAGTTTCAGGATAATAACTTGTGTATAAGTATTTCGATTGCTCTGAAATTGTACGACAATGTTTAATACCACAAGTAAAAGGTTGGGATTTATTTTAGGGGTTATGGGGCCAACAGTTTAAGAATAAAGGGCCAAAAAGGGGCCAAAAACAAGCATTTTTCTAGTTTCCAGACTATAACTTGTGTGTAAGTGTATGGATCTCTCTGACATTGTACAACAAGGTTCCATATCACAAAGGGAAGGCTAGGATTGAGTTTGTGGTTAATTGCTAAAATATGTAGGAATTAGGGGCCAAAAACAAGCAAGGGGGATTTTTTTCAATGTTTTTAGAGGATTCATATTTTTTTTTTCAAAATTTTTCAAATTTTGAATTTTTGAAAAGTTTCAAGAAGAAATCTTCAAATTGCACAGTATTGCGCAATAGGTTTGTAAGATCGTTGACCACATTTATTTTGTGTCAGAAATCTATATTATGTCAAAAATTTGATCACAATCCAAATTCAGACAGTATCAAGCTTGAATATTGTGTCCAAATTTGTACCAACTGTTCAGGGTTCGACCTCTGCGGTCGTATCAGGCTGCGCTCAGCGAAGCATTTTATTTAATTTCTGGAAAAAAATAATATTCTCTGGTTAGGTGGCAAGTTTTTAGTTTCTTAAGCTACACTTTTTACTAGGATGTCTGTCATCATCATTCCCCTGGTGTCCAAAGTTTTGAAATATTATTGTGCTTTATATACTTACAATCCTTTCAGACTATACAGATATGTATTTTTAAACACATATCAGTATGTAAAGTCATATAAAGGCAAGGTAGTCAATTTTGAATTGCTATATACTGTATAGCAGGTTATTTTCTTGGGATGTAAATTTTAGAACAAAATCGCAAAAATAAATCCACCAATTTTTAAAGTGCACATGCAATTATAAGATTTTCAAAGATGACATCTTAAACTATATGTAATCAAATTATGGAAAGAAAAGTAGGGGTAAGGGGGCAAAATTTTTAATGGCACTACATGAATAAAACCAGTGGATTCTGAATATCTGACAAAAATTCAAAAACAAGAGAAGCGAACATCCTTAAATATTGATTTAAAAGTCAACTCTCTAACACTTAAAGAAAATTTATATTTAAAAAGAGATTTGAAAATTTGAAATTGGACAATTAAAGAATGACTATATTACCTTTCATATGCATTTACAATTGATATACAGAACAATAATTATATAACTAGATTAAATTTAGACATTCATATGTATATATATTCTGTATGTGTGCAGTATAAAATTAGTACCAACGATAATCGACTGTATTGGAATGCTGGATAGGACTATTCAAGAACATATAAAATGCAGACAGACAAAAAGACTTAAAACCATCATAGTCATCACAGAGTTACTTATAAATATAAGCCATAATAAAGTTAAGTTGATGCCAATAAGTGGCAGATATAATTAACATTAGAACATATGACCGCCGAATTTGCTGTGTTAGTATTTCCCATCCAACCGTCATCATTTTATAGATTTTGACTTATTCGTCTTTTTTTACATGTTTCATAATTACTTTATCTACAAAAAGAAACAAAAAACATGTAGCACACTTATTTAATATATACAATTAAAAAATATAAACATATTTAAAGGACTGTGCAATACTTTTAAATTTAAACCATGGAAGAAAGTGGACATACCAAATGCCTAAATTTAATGACACATATTTACCAATCAGAGAACATATAGATAGTTACGTGTCCTTGAACGAATATGTACAAGTTAAGTCTAATACTTATTTGAAAACTGGACACATCTTATGGTAATTATTACCAACTCAATGAAAAACTCGCAACACCATGTAAAAAAAAACCCGACCAAAACACAAAGAAGAAAACTCTAGACAAACAACACATACTCTCCCAAAGCCGTGGATAACATTCACAGAATATTATAATATGCACAAGATATATTTTTATTGCTGAAAAAATTTCCTCCAAATGGTAAAAGAGGTAATAAAATACATAACCATTTTAAACAAACAGGATAAATGGGAAAAACAGGGAACAGCTACACTGAACAAAAATGAAACGTTAAATTCCACAGTTGATGAAACGAACAGCGATTTGTTAACTTTAAGTTTAAAACCGTGATGGTTTTTTGTTGAGCCTGCGACTTCTGTCACAGAAAGCTCGACATAGGGATAGTGATTTGGCGGCGTCGGTGGCGTTAGCTAACTTCTTAAAAGCTTTATATTTTAGAAGGTGGAAGACCTGGATGCTTCATACTTTGTATATGGATACCTTATGATATGAAGTTTCCGTCTGTCACATGTTCATGGTCCTTGACCTCATTTTTATGGTTCAGTGACTACTTGAAAAAAAAGTCAACATTTTTTGTAATGTTAATTGCTCTCTTATTATGAGTAATAGGATAACTATATTTAGTATATGCGTACCTTGCAAGGTCCTCATGCCTCATTTCATTAATCAGTGAACAAGGTTAAGTTTTCGTGGTCAAGTCCATATATTAGATACTATAAGCAATAGGTCTACTATATTTGTTGCAGGCATGGGGTAATGCAAATTTGTAATTGTAATGCATGGTAATGCATTACATTTTTCCAAGTAATTGCATGTAATGTGTAATGTAGCAATTTTTGCATTATATGTAATTGTAATTTAATGCATTACTTTAGCAAAATG